GATACTACATTGCATAATGTTTTTACAGTTATTCAGTTGCTAAGACTGCAAGAGCACTAACTGTGGCTAATTTTGCAAGCTGTAATTACATCAGTTATTTGTCAAGCAACATACATACATACACACACACACACATTGCACAATATGTTTTTTCTGAACTGCAGCAAAGAGATTCATTTAGTGATAAAACCCTTTTGCAAAATTGGAAACAGGCAGCACTGAACATGATAGCTTTCATATGTAACTTTGCGAAATGAACACTCCTTTCAATGATAGCTCCTGATTTTCCTGACCTTTTAATACCCATGGGCTTGTAAAAGTGATAAAGAGGTCTTTCCTTTTAGCATTTCCCTTCAGGTATGTTTTGAGAAGACTCTAACCGTGAGTTAGGGATTAAGATGATCATAGTTACAATCAGTTATTTTATAAACTATACAAAAATACTTGGGGGTGAGGCTCATCTGTCAGACATTCACTTCTCTTCCAAAAGTGCAGTGTAAATGATGATGTGGCAAAGCGCCTTAGAGAAATCAGAACATGGGATTTTTAACTTGCAGTGAAGCTAATGACAGAGTTCAGAACTCATATCAGATTCATCACTAAGAATAAGAAATGGTTGGTGAATCTGCAAGTATTTGGCTGTTCACTTCAATTTAAACTGAATTTAACTGATGAACTGCTTGTGTTGTCCCTCTGAGGACTGGGCAAACACAGATCCTCTGATAATGAACTTTATTTCTAGTTCCCCACACCACACATCCTTTCCTCCATCAGACCCCCGTCTATGAAGATCATCCAGGTCCCTCAGACTACTATCCATGCCGGGCAAGATGTGGCCTGGGGGCCGGATCTGTCCCACCTAACACTTTGATCTGTCCTGCAGACTGCATCTAGCTGCTTTCTATTTATATTCTGCTGCCCGTGCCGCCAGATTTTCTGGTGATGGCATAGGCAGCAAGATCCTATTTAAATGGCTCATGGCTGCCGGTTGTAATACTATTCAAGCAGGGGGCAGAGCCGTGAGCCCTTTAAATAGCCACAGTAACTCTTGGCAGCTGCCAGGCAATGCAATAGCAACAGGGCCAGGAGCTGCGAACCACCTGCTGTGTTATTAATTCAAAACCTTCTGCCACCAAGCAACTCTGGATGGAGGCTAGTCTCCAGCCCCGCCCCTTCTGCTCCAGGTCACGTCCCTTCTGGGGGTGGAGCTGGCCTATGACCACATACCAAAATTCATTAAGTGTCCCCCCTGTGAAAATTATTGCCCACCCCTCCTCTAGGCTGGGGCCTGGCTCATACTTCCCACTAATCTGATAATTCTGTCTCTGGTGTGCTCAAAAGATCCAGAGAGCTAAGGGCTCAGACCCTCAAAGGGTTAAAATGAATGTAACAAACTAAGTGAGAAGCCCAGGATGTGTGGGTGTTGAAGTGAGCAGCTTCAAATAGTCTGAAAAATTTTGATGAGCATCATAGACCTTTCAGAATGGCTTTGGAAAGCTGAATAGGTTAAAACTGATAAAGGGAGGAAGGGTGTTTTTGTGATCGAGGCACGCGTTACACAAACAAACTGAAGCGCAAAGTTCAATTTCCAGCTCTGTCATGGGATCCCTGTATGACCTTGGCCAAGTCACATAATCTTTTTCTTTTCAGTTCCTGATCTTTGAGAATGATGTTTTATCTTCTATGATCTTTTGTCTGTTTAAAATATAAGCTCTTCAAAGCAGGAGCTGTCTCTTACTGTTTTTGCATAGAGTGCATGGCTTGATGGGGCCTGAAATTGGTTGAAGCCTGTAGGCACTATTATTATACAAATAAATAATGAGGAGAGAGGTCAAGGGTTCAGATCCTATGACTCTGTGGGATGGGAGTGGAAAGAGGGAAATCAGAGGAAAAGGTGATAGTAGAGTTAGGGATTAGAACTGTGTGAATAACTGATTTCCATGGATGAACTGAATTATTTGAGGAAAAATAGTTTCGTGTCAACTCAAATCAAAAGTTATAGAAAATTTTAGGGAACTACAAAAAATTAAAAAATTTAATTCTGGTTCATGCTAAATATTTTGTTCATCCTACAGCAGCGGGTCTTGTTTCCAATCTTGATATTTTATACTTTTTAGAATTATTTAGCTCTGATTGAAGACATATTCAAAATGAAAAGTTTCTCGAATCAAAAAATCAAAGTATTTCAATATATTAACTTTTCTAATTTTATTTGTTGAGTATTTTTTTCTAGCTGAAATGATTTGTTGAGTTCAACACAAATTGAAAAATGTTTTGTTCAACATGGATATGCAGTTTTAGGAAAAAAAATGTTTGTTCACAAATTTTGCTCAACTCTTTAAAAAAAAAAAGTGGGGATAGGAATGGGCAAAGTTCTGGACCAGTTCATTTTTCCCTGTAGCAATTTTTGTCAGCATCTGATCTAATTAATACAAACTAGAGCAGGGCAGGATCTGTTTAGCAGCATACAACAGTACATCACAACATTCTAGGACAGACACAGATTAATGAGATTGAAAGTTCAGAGCTAATGCTTTTTGGAAGTCCCCTTTTCGTGCATCTTGTATTAATGAAAACAAAAGTGTGAGCGATCAACAAGACATAAATATTACTAACTACGCATGAAAGGAAAATTGAAAATAATGAACAGGTCACATACTGCCTGGGTAAACATAAAAATATAAAACTTTAAGAGTCAAATGTGAAATGCTGTGTGTTTAAACAGGCATCTTGCAATCTTTACGTGATACAAATTCAGTTTTGAATCCTCAGAGTAAATCCTGTTCAGCTGACATGATAGCAAGAGCATTAAGCTTTGTTTCTTCCATTGTTGACCAAAGTTGGCTTTTTTTTTTCAAACAAAGCTTAGGGAACAATCACTGTGCTTCACCGCTGGCAATGGGTACATTCAAATACAGTCTCAACGCAATGAAAATATTTGGGAAGACATTACTCAGAACTTTGCCATGCAAAAATCTGATGAGTTCAGGAGTGCTCTTATCCTGCCTGTCACCATAGCTTATAAATGCTGAAAATTGAGACATTTTGGCAAAGAGTTCAGTGCTCTAGATCATTCAAGTAAGAATTAAGCAACCAGTGAATGCATGTTTTCTTCTCCTCTTCACTTTGTATTTTTAAGATTAGACTAGGGGGCTGTGCCCCCGCTCGCTATGTTTGCCAACTCCCTTCCTGCTTCCCCAGAGCACTGGGGAGGGGGGAGGCTGCGGGTCTCTCACCCCGAAGGGGAAGGCTGCGCAGCTTCATACCTCTACCCCCAGAGCACTGGGGAAGGAGAAGTCCATGGGACACTTGATTCCCAAGCACTAGGGAGGGAGGAGGGAGTGGGCCACACTACTCTGCCCCCCCAGCATCAGGGAGGGAGGAAGCTGTGCAGTTCTGGCCCCCTCCTGGAACTTCGGGCAGGGAGGGAGCTGCGTGGCTCCCATCCCCCCACTCCTGCGAGCACCAAGCAGTCGGTGCAGCTCCCGCACCAACCCCCAGAGCACCAGGGAGGGGAGTAGGATGCCAGATAGCTGAGGAGGGGCTGTGGGATGCAGAGTGATGTGCTGATGTCACTCTGTCATCCCACAGGAAAAAATTTTTATATAGAGAGAGAGAGAAAATGAAGACTGCTAACTGAATTTATGCTAATTTACTAAATAACAGGCCTCACTCAGGCCTTACTGAAGTCCATACTCAGTCTTTCCAAATGCTCTTTACTTCACTGAGCGTTTTGCCTACATAAAGAGTATGAATTTCACCAGAAAACTTTGAAAATGATCCATGACTGGCTTCTGTCCTGCAGCAAGTGCTGTGAATGCAAACACCTCCACCCAGTAGGATTCTGCACATGGCCAGGGCTTCATACTCCTGTGTGAACAGTAGTGTAAAATAATGATGAGACATAATAGCTGGGGATGAAATCTGTGGGAGGATAAATTAACAGTGAAACGAATATGTTAAAGTAATAACCAGAAGTCCTAGCTCACCTCCATAATTTGTACAGCAATTTTTTCTCAGGTTGTCTTCTCCCCTAAAATGGGCCAAATTCATTTTTGTATAACTACACTGAAGTTACTGTATCTTGGATTAACATCATCCAGTGTGACAATAATTTACTTTGATAATTTAGTACTAGTTCCAGTATTAAAAATGGCTATTTTTATGCTTTGTGAAACCATTCAGATCCTACATTATGGAGCACCGACCATGTACGTCAGTGGTTGGAATGGGCCGTGAAGGAATATGGTCTTCCAGATGTTGACATCTTGTTGTTCCAGAATATTGATGGGAAAGAACTATGTAAAATGACCAAAGATGACTTCCAGAGGCTCACCCCAAGCTATAATGCAGATATCCTCCTCTCACACCTACACTACCTCAGAGAGAGTAAGACTATTTTCCTTCGTTATGATGGTTAGAATAAATCTGTCAACAGCATTTCCAGTTGTAGTGTCTTTTCATTTTGGGATTTCAAATCTCCCAACTTCGAATGTTACAGCTTCCAAGAATATTATTAGAGCCTATCCAAAGCTTATTCATGTTGATAGAAAGACTCCCATTGACTACAGTGGGTTTAGACCAGGTTTATTGTGACTACTTTAAGAAATTATTTTAGGAATATCTCCTAATGGGCAAAAAATTAATTTGAAACCCAGTTCATTCATCCATAATACTGTAGGAAGAAAATTAAAGGGACTTGTTGTGATGATGTTTTTTCTGGTCACATATTCTTCTTTCCATTTTAGCTATGAGAACCCTAAATGAAAGTAAAAACATTGATTTATAAAGAAAATTCCAGGCATGATTCTTTGAATATATATGATCTGTTCTACTCTGCATATGTGCATGTAGCTCTCACTGGAATTAATAGGAGTTATGTACATTCATGCAGAAGAGAAAAGAATCTTCTAAATCTCAAACCAAAGGATTTGTGGCTGATGGCTAACTTTCTAAAGGGGGAAGAAGGGAATAGTGAATTAATGATTTGAAGGATGTAGTCCTCACATAATTTGTATAATTTAAGACATTAAAATGATCAAATGTGGTTTTAAAAAAACCAAATTTGCAACACCAGTGTGGTGCAGTCTTTTCTATACACACACACACACACATACACTCAGACTGAAATATTATGTATTAATGATATTATTTCAATGAATATCCTAGTTTAAACTTTAACATACACACCTCCCCCACAAACAGCAGAACTAAACTGATTGTTACTTGACTTGCTTTAAAACAATCCTATCGGGGGAAAATGTTTTTAGAAGATAATTCTCATTTTTTTTTCATTTTGGTGTTGCTTTTTGTTTTGTTTTGTAGCTCCTCTTCCACATTTGACTTCAGATGATGTTGATAAGGCCTTACAAAACTCTCCACGGTTAATGCATGCTAGAAACACAGGTAATGCTGGCATCGCTCCCATTCCTATAGGTCATCTTTTAAAAGCACAGGATTCCTGTTTGAGTTGCATGCTAAAAAATGGAAATGGTAAATCAGCAGGGAGATGGTGTATTCTCCCCTGATATTTGTGTAAGGCTTAGCAGTGACATGAGTTTTCCATGTGCACACTGAACAGAAGTGAGATCGTTTGGTACCAGATTTTGCAATTGGATCCCTGTGTGCAAACTCTTATTCCTGTGCAGGTGCAAGGTTCCATCCACATGCAACAAACTACACTTAATCTCTAAGATTCTGATCTAATCTTATCAAAGCCACACAGGTGGATCCTTTTGCCTGCATGGAGCCTCACACATGTTAATGGAGCACTGGACTGGCTCAGAAATCCACCTGTACAGATCAGTTTGCAGCTTTGGTGCCAAAGTCTGGTTAATTTCTCCCATTGAGTATACTGCAACATGGACCCATGCAGTATACTGTATCACATATTTAAATACTATTTTATCACACACAAAAAACTGGATAAACAGGGATTTTACTTTTCCCCAATTATAAAAGACAGTACTGACTATTTTCCTGATGGAGTATTTCCAGAGGTTTTTTTTTTCAATTTAGACTGTACCAGCAATAAAATTAAACCTGCTAAATTTATAACCTTACAGAATGTAAAAGATGTATGGAATTTCTTTAAGGCAAAAAATCCCTTTTTACCATGCTAGTCCATTATCCCCTACTACTACTATACTTGGGTCTTTTTAAAGTGTGTATGAGGATGGTGGGAGAGAATATATTTTATGGACTGTTCTGTGCTGAAGTCCAACTAAGTTTTGATTCTTCTCTCTGTGCAGTGTTTCATAGATACGCACATACCCTTCCATGACATACATTGTCTACAAAATGGATCTTCTTCCCAAGTTTCAGAAAAGTTTGGTCTGAATTTGAGATTTTTTAAAAATAGTTATTACTGCTCACCATTCCATGAGCCACCCTGGACAAATTGGAGATAAATATAAAACACTCCATAGAAATTGATTTCTTCCACAAAATTCTGTGATATTACAAGTTTTCACTCCAAATATTTATGGAAAACTTCAGTGGAAGTTTTGTTCTCACAGTTTTGTAACAGAGGGTGACATAAAATGCTATATATTTTATTAAATAAAAAAGTTTTAAATATCACGTTATCATGCCTGAGGGTATTAGTTACCTACAGTGACCAGAAATAACAACTATTTAAGAAATGGAAAAGCTAATATAAAAAATAATGTGAAATACTCTACACATTTTCTCTTTTGCTGTAATAATTAGCACTGTTTCCCTGAAAAATTACAGCATAATTACTCAAAGATCACATGCTTTTGCTAAACTCAAATGTTTGATATCCAGTATATCCTATATCTAGGGCTGCTAAGATTGAACCAGTCTATTCAAGTCAGTGGAAGCCTCTTCTTTTGCTCCCATGGACTTTAGAACAGTCCTTAAATTCCATTTTAAAAGTAGATGGACTTGAGGGTCTTTTCCATCTCTCACAATCACAATCCTAATTTAGCAATGAAATTCCCTGCACAGTTACTCAATAGTTTCTCAGTGAGTCCCTGTTACCTTTTTATGTAATTGTAATGATGTTGAGATGTTTTAATGTATCTACCTCCCAAAAAATTAACCCGCATTTACTTCACTGGGATTATTGATACATTGCAGCTATATGGATGGCATTTATGTCAGCAATATCCTACAGTGTGTAAGAAAAAATATTTGCTTGGTTTGGTTCTGTTTGTATAAAAATCTGTCTTGGGAACTTCAGAGGAGGTTAAGGGGATTGGTGTTCAACTTCTTTTAAAAGTCAATAGCAGTAGGGCACATAATCCCCTTTCAGATTTCCAACCAGGATAACTATAAATCTATTAACATGGTTAGAGCTATTTAAATTCCTGAAATAATCAGACATTGTTTTCTGCATCAGATGGGTTATTTTTACAATGTACAGCAAGAATTGATTCTCTGGGAGCCAGATCCAAAGTCTGTGGAAGTAAATGAAAAGACTTCTACTGACTGCCATGGCTTTGAATCAGGTCCTAGATTGTCTGCTGAAAATATTCATAGGTTAGGGTGATGTACACACTAAACAAAGATTAGGCAAAATAAATTGAATTTCACAACATATATGAAACATGCTGACATTTTGGGCCTGATTTTCTAAATTGTAAAAAGTATGGACTTAAATTCTCTTCTTACTTACCTTGGTTAATGGTGGGATGTCTCTAGTAATTTGAATGAATTTACACTGATGTAAAAGAAACTAGAATCAGGCCTTTAAACCTCACTCCTGAGTGACAAAAAATGTATTCAAATGCTTCGTTCTAATACATTATCACAGGCTGAGATATAGTTACCAGTGGTAGAACTAACTGTGAGAAAAGCAGTTCTTATGAGTTTTTTCTCCACTTTTTACTGCAGGAGGTGCAGCTTTTATTTTCCCAAACACTTCAGTTTATCCAGAAGCGACACAAAGAATTACAACCAGGCCAGGTATGAATGATGATTTTTGTTATGTGATTTTGCTCACTGTCCCCTCTCTTTCTACTTCAGGTGTCTCTATCTAAAATAATACAGTATAAACATGCTTAGTAACATCCATCTCTACTACATGGGATGAGGTGGAAGGGAAGAGCAGCTTAAAGAGTCCATTTTTCAGAAGCTTCTGTTTTTGAGGAAATGTGGCTAGTGGCTAGAGTAGAATGCTGGGACCCTGGAAGCAAAGGTTCTATTCCCAGCACTTTCCACTGGCTTGCAGAATGATTTTAGCAAGTCACTTCACCTCATGGTGCTTTGGTTTTCCCATCTGTAAAATGAGGATAAGATACTGACCTCCTTTGTAAAGAGTCTTGAGATCTGTTGGTCTAAGTGCTATATAAGAGAGTGATATTTGCATTATTATTTTTTGCTTCTTGTTTATTTTTTAAACAAAGTAACTTAATACAGCAACAGAAAAGCATAAAAATGAACAGCAAGAGAGTCTTCATATCAGAAATCAGAAGTCTATAACAGAATATGTGGATCTGCTGGATCACTGGGGTAAAGAGAACAATGAAGGAAGAAAAGAACATTGCTGAGAAGCTATAGCGTTACTTGGCATTATTCTTCACCTCTGAGGATGTTGGGAAGATACCTAGTTTGGATCTCTGCTTTGCTAATAATAAAGAAGAAGTATTGAGGCAACAGAAGAAAGTGGTTAAAAAGCAACAAGTCACTAGGTCCAGGTGGTGTATATATCCAGGAGCACTGAAGGGACTTAAAATTGAAGTGACTGAGCTGCTAGTAAAGATACACAGTCTCTGATTGAAACAGCTAGTATGCCAGAGGATTGCAGTTTAGCAAATGGCGTATTCATATTTTTAAATGATCCTAGCTAATAACTCAGGTAATTAATCACTGCTAAATCTTGAACTGGTTGAAATGATAATTAAAATTGAATAATAAAAAACTTTAGAAGTCCATAATATAATAAGGTATAGCCTACAGCGTTTCTGCCAGGAAAATCATGCCTCACTGTTCTATTAGATTTCCTTAAATATTACAATAAAGTATTAGTTAAAGAAGAACCAGTTGACATTATTTAGTCTTTTAAAATCCTTTCACAAAGCCCCTCAAAAAAGTTACTAAAGAAACTGAGCTGCAGTGAGATGAATGGCAAAATATTATCCTGGATCAAAAACTGCCTAAGACAGAATACTAAAAATAGGAACACATGATCAGCTTTCATCATGGGAAGAGACTAATAATAGGTGTTCAAAAGTCCAGTTAGGATGACTGATATTTAATGATCTGGAAAAGGACAGTGACAAAATCTGTGACAAAAGTGAGGAAGCAAAATTGCAAATGGCACACATGTACTTAGATCAGTTAAATCCAAAGAGAACTGTGAGGAACTTCAGTTGGAATTAACCAAGCTATGGGCAATACAATTGCTGGTGAAAATGAAGGCTGATCAATGCAATGCAATGCCCATTGGAAGGAAAATTTGAAGTACCGGTATTCCTGTACCTAAATTGAACTCATTAATTCAGGAAAAAGGACCTGGGCATCACTATCGGCTGTTCAATGGAGACCTCTGTTCTGTGTACAGCTGCTGTCAAAATACTAACAAACTGTTAAGCTGCATAAGGAACAGGCTGAAGAATGATACGGGAAAAATTATTGTGCCATCCACTATATAAATCAACAGCGTAGCCTCATTTGGAATGTTGTGTTCAGTACTGGTCACCCCATCTGCAGAGTTATATTTGCTGAATTAGAGGACAGAGAGACAAGTGATGAGAATGGTTAAAGCCTTGGGAAAACTCTGCTATGGTGAGCAATTGGTGAGTCAGGGATTTTTTACTTTTGATAGGAGGTGTCAATAAGAGGTACATGATAAAATTCTTACAAAATAATGAGTGGTTTTGGAAAGATGGGAGCATCTACTTTCTGTGCATCTTGATACAAGACTGAGAGGACATTCAATGAAATTGAGAGGAAGCAAATTCAAAACTGATAAAAAGAAATAACTTTTTGCGACAACACATAATTAGACTGTGGACATCATTGCCATAGGCTGTTGTTGAAACACAGAGATTACTGAGATTCAAAAAAGAGATAGGACATTTATATGGATAACAGGAACATTCAGTTAGAGTAGTAATAACCAAGATAAAAATGTATCTGAAGAAGACCTGATGCTTCAGAGTTCTCACCAAATCTTTAATTAATATGGGTAGAAGAAGACTATCTTGGGAGGAAGATTAGCTCACATCTGTCTACTGTGTGATGTCTTCAATCTTCTTCTGAGTAGTTGGAAATAGGATAGCAGACTAGATGGAACACAGGGTTTTGCCAGCATGGCAATTCTATGTACCTCTCCTTAGTGCAAATGCCTCTGGATGGTTCATTGATGTCTTTTCTAAATGTAGAAAAATCAAATATAATTTCCTTACCTAAAATGAAAATAACTTCTTATATATGTTTCCTTTCTATCTATATTTTGTTAATTATTTGTTGTTTATTCCACGAATCAACAATTTTGATAATAGTATATTTAAAACATGATCAAAAACATTAATATGATCCCTAAAACAACACAGGTGTGAGAGTTCTACAGTATGCAATTTATATGCATCCCCACGATTCAGCGCAAAGGTTGGTCAGAAGAGGGAAGCCATATTGCTCCATGGGAGATGTGGTCTAGCAAGGGAGCCTAGCCCAGAAGAGAGATTGCCAGCTCTCGCGAGGCTATGCAGCACCATGCAACACCAAAGGGAGAAGCCACCACTATGTTGAGCTGATTCAAAATGAAATGTGTTGGGTCAGTTCAACCAACCAAAATATTTCAGTTTGAGTCCAGCTGACCTGAAATGCAAGATTTAATTGTGATTTTCCCACAGAAAACAAATAAGTAAAAAAGAAATTTCCAACAGAAAAATTTGATATTTCAGAAATTGCATTTTCGGCTGAAAAAATGGTTTCAGCAGAACATTTTTGATAACTCTCTTTTTCAGACAAGGTCCAAATCTCAACTAGAATGCACACAGCCTAACTTTTACTGAGGCACTATTCCATAACTAAATCCCTTTTGCTAACAACAGGAGTAGATATGATTGTCTTTGGGGCAGTCACTGACTACAAATAAAAGGAAAAAGAGGCAAGGTTGATGCCAAAGAGAAATTCCAGAGAGTGAATCTGCTAAACATTGGGATACAATTCCAGATAGTGAATCAAAATTAAGCAGCTACCATTATTAAATGTCTATAATGGAGACTAGGAAGTGAATGAGCTTCTGAAACAATATGAATGCCAAAGTCATATTTCTTCAGCAATCCTGAAAATAAAAAGAATCTTTTGCACGTTAAATGTGATATACTCTAGTAGCTCAGGAAAAACTAATAGGGGATTATCTAACTGTCTGATCAAATGAAAATGAGTTACAAGATCTGGTCTAGATAAGGACATATTGTACCAATTTCTCATCATGAGTAAAAACAGACCTGCTTATCTATGATAGCAATATGTTTAACAAAATATAAATCATTGTCCAGATAAATTCCTAGATCCTGAACTAAGAATGAAGTCTTCCAGTTGATGCTATTTCAAGCAGGGCTGAGAATTGCTTCTTTCCTTTTAAAGAGGGCGTAGTCACACAACTGTACAAGGATGTGTTTGCCTCTTGACTCAAGGGTTTTCTCACAGTACTAAATTTATACTTAATGAATTTCAGGTATGTGGTATTTTAAAATTGAAACTGTTACTAGCACTGGGCTGCATATGCACAAGTTGCATGTAACTACCCTTAATATACAAATTCACAAGAATTTACAATCTGAGGCCCCGCAAACACCACCCCCCAGAAGCAAGCAAAGAGTGGGGATGGGGGAGTAGGAGGGTGGAATGCAAACAGCCCAGTGACAGGTACATATCCCATTAGTATCACATTTTTGTTGCTTTTCCCAATCCTTCTTTGTGGGTAGGGGGTAGGAAAAATGGGAACCACCAACATGTGTCCTTGACATCACTCTTTTCCCCCTTTGCTCTCCCACCCTTTGGGCTAGATTCTTAGTTCTGCTCAAGGTGTTGCACACCCAGGTCACAAACCCCTAGCTGGGAAAACCACCACCAAGGAAGGGTTCTCAGCGGGTTCAGCACAGCCAATTTGTTCACCTCCCACTATGTTCATGGTGCACAAGGCCTGGAGGTGAAGGAAAGAGGTACCATAGGGCGAGAAGCAGCTTGCAAAGGGGAGTGAATGAAATAAATTGCACTCTGACAGGCCCCAGTTGGCTTATGATCCATTGTGGACCATATCCACCTCGCACTTATTTAGAGCCATCCACAGTTTGTTCTAGACTTCATCAAGCTGTTCTAATCTGCATCCAGAGCTGGGCAGAAAATCAGGATCAGCTCCTTGACAGCCCATCTCCCTTTCTGCCATGTTTGCAATAGAAGTTGGACATAGCACTCAATTTGACCCTTTGTATGTCTTCATTTTCCTTTTGGATGCTAAGTTCTCCAGGGAGAAGACTGTCTCTAACTATGTGCTTTAACATTAACAGCACTGAGCATAACTGGATCCCAGCTTGATTGGGGCTTCTGGGTGCGACCATACTGTAACAAATAATTATAATAGTATTGTATACAGTTACTCACATATGCTATATGCCGTACTGTATGCAGTGATGTAAATACCTACACAGTTCGCACTATTTTCTCCAATTCACCGTGTTTCCATGAGAGAAAAATGTGGTAGAAAATTAGAAAAGTCAGGGATTAAAAGGAATGGTTACTTAAAATGTAATACAGAACAAAAAGTGTGCATCTCAGCAAAATCAAAGTTTTGAGAGTGTAAGATTCCATCAGACCACAGTGATGGCAGTGCCAGTTATACACTGAAGCCAAACAGACTAAATAAATTAAAGGCAATTTAGTTGTGAATTACACATTACACTTTGTTTCCATTCCATTCTTTCTCCAGTATTATCTGAAAATAGTCAGATATACAAAAGCGACACTCAGACTACCTCCTGAACTGGTTCATGACTCCCTACCCTCACTTATTGTTTAAAGATGGTGAAACAACCTTTCTAAAAGAAAGGTAAGACACTATTAAGGCTCTACCATCCATTAAAAGGAAGCTATATGCCTACCTTAATACAGCACTGATTTGGCACCAGGATATAGCATACATAGATTTCCAGAAAGCTTCTGACAAGGCCCCTCACCAAAGGCTCTTAAGCAAAGTAACCTGCTATGGGATAAATGGGAAGAGCCTCTTGGATTAGTAACTGGTTAAAAAATAGGAAAGAAAAGTAGGCACGAATAGTCATTTTTCAGAATGGAAAGAGGTAACTAGTGGTGTCTCCCAGGAGTCTATTCTGGGACCAGTCCTATTCAACATACTCATAAAAGGGGGAAAAAGGATAAACAGTGAGGTTGCAAAATGTGCAAAAACTACCCAACATAATTAAGTCCAAGGCGGACTGCAAAGAGCTACAAAACTCAAAACTATAATTTCTCAAAATTGGGTGACTCGACAACAAAACGGCAGATGAAATTTAATGTTGATAAATGCAAAGTAATGCACATTAGAAAACATGATCCCAACTGTACATATAAAATGATGGGGTCTAAATCAATTGTTACTACTCAAGAGAGAGATATTCAAGTCATTGTGGATAGTTCCCTAAAAACATCCACTCAATGTGCAGTGTCAGTCAAAAAATGAACAATATGTTGAGAATCAATAAGAAAGAAAGAAATGACAGGACAGAAAATATTGTATTATCTCTATAAAATCCTTGGTACTCCCACCTCTTGAACACTGTCTGAAGATGTGGTCACCCCACGTCAAAAAAAAAGATATATTGGAATTGGAAAAGGTTCAGAAAAGGACAATAAAATGATTAGGGGCATGGAACAACTTCTGTATGAGAAGAGATTAATAAGACTGAAACTTTGCAGCTTGGAAAAGAGATGACTAAGGCGGAATGTGGCTTAGATCTATACAATTATGACTGGTCTAAAGAAAGCGCTATTTACTTCTCATAACACAAAAACTAGAGGTCACCAAATGAAATTGATGGGCAGCAGGTTTAAAACAAATAAAAGGAACTATTTATTCACACAACACACAGGGAAGCTGTAGGCCTTTTTGCCAGAAGATGTTGTGAAGACCAAGACTATAACGGGGTTAAAAAAAGAACTAGATAAATTTATGGAGGATAGGTCCATCAAAGGCTATTAGCTAGGATAGACAGGGATGGTGTCCTTAGCCTCTGTTTGCCAGAAACTGGGAATGAACAACTGGAAAATTACCTGTTCTGTTCATTTCCTCTGGGCTAAATGGACCTTTGGTCTGTTCCAGTATGGCCATTCCCATGTTTTTACATTTGAAGTTGTTTTTTATCAGAATGACAGGGGGGAATGCTCACGTATAAGCCAGCAGCTCACTGTGATCCAAAAAGGGATGAGTTTTGTAAATTATTCTGGAAAAGGAGAGTGAGATTAATAGGTACAAATGAGGAGAAAGGTCCATGCCAAGCATAAGAATAAAAAAAGGAGCCATAGGTGTGGGAACAAAAGGCAAATGAAGGCAGCACAGTTAACAGAGCAAAGGACACACAAAACTAGGAGACAGGGCAGAGATGCAGGTATAGCAGAGGTACAGTATATTTACCACAGCCCTATTGAATTCACAGGATATCTGAATTAGTCACTGCTTCAGGTACAAAACAAATGCTTCCAAATTTTCTTTGAATAATAAGAATAATCAATTTCTTTATTTAAAAATGATATAGCATTAAATAAATGAAGTTTATCAGAAGTCTTGGTAGTTACATAGTGGAACATCAGAGAATCATAGAACACTCGAACTGGAAGGAACCTCGAGAGATCACAAGTCCGGTCCCCTGCCCTCATGGCATGACCAAGCACCATCTAGATCATCCCTGATAGATGTCTATCCAACCTGCTCTGAAATATCTCCAGTGATGGAGATTCCACAACCTCCCTAGGCAATTTATTCCAGTGTTTAATCACCCTGACAGGAAGTTTTTCCTAATGTCCAACCTAAACTTCCCTTGCTTCAATTGAAGCCCATTACTACTTGTCCTATCATTAGAGGCCAAGGAGAACAATTTTTCTTCCTTCTCCTTGTAACACTCTTTGGGTATGTCTACACTAGCCACCCTAGTTTACACTAGGGTGGTTAATGTAGTCATACGGAGTTGCAAATGAAGCCCGGGATTTGAATTTCCCGGGCTTCATTTGCATGATCCCACCGGCACCATTTTTAAATGCTGGCTAGTTCGGACTGCGTGCCGCGCGGCTACACGCGGCACGAACTAGCTAGTTCGGACTAGGCTTCCTAATCTGAACTAGCTGTACACCTCGTTCCACGTTCCACGAGGCGTACAGCTAGTTCGGATTAGGAAGCCTAATCCGAACTAGCTAGTTCGTGCCGCGTGTAGCCGCGTGGCACGCAGTCCGAACTAGCCGGCATTTAAAAATGGCGCCGGCGGGATCATGCAAATGAAGCCCGGGAAATTCAAATCCCGGGCTTCATTTGCAACTCCGTATGACTACATTAACCACCCTAGTGCAAACTAGGGTGGTAATGTAGATATACCCTTTTAGATTCTTGAAAATTGTTATCATGCCTCCCTCCAGACTTCTCTTTTCTAAACTAAACAAGCCCAGTTCTTTCAGTCTTCCCTCATAGCTCATGTTTTCTAGACCTTTAATCATTTTTGTTGCTCTTTTCTGGACCTTCTCCAATTTCTCCTCATCTTTCTTGCAATGTGGTGCCCAGAACTGGATATAATACTCCAATTGAGGCCTACTCAGTGCAGAGTATAGCGGAAAAATGACTCCTGGTGTCTTGCTCACAACATTCCTGTTAATGCACCCCGGAATCATGTTTGCTTTTTTTGCAACAGCCTCACACTGTTGACTCATATTTAGCTTGTGTTTCACTATGACCCATAGATCCATTTCTGCTGTACTCCTTCCTAGACAGTCACTTCCCATTCAGTATGTGTGAAACTGATTGTTCCTTCCTAAGTGTAGTACTTTGCATTTGTCCTTATTAAACTTCATCCTATTTACCTCAGACCATTTCTCTAGTTTGTCCAGATCATTTTGAATTATGACCCTATTCTACAAAGCAATTGCAACCCCTGCCAGCTTGGTATCATCAGCAAACTTAATAATCGTACTCTCTATGCCATCATCTAAATCAATGATGAAGATATTGCACAGAACTGGTCCCAAAACAGACCCTTGTGGAACTCCACTTGTTATGCCCTTCCAGCATGACTGTGAACTGTTAATAATAACTCTCTGAGAATGGTTATCCAGACAGTTATGCACCCACCTTATAGCACGACACCTTGTCATAACAAAAAACAATGCAATACTGTTCCCACTAATATTGCCATTGGATATTCAGCTCTTAGTCCTTCTAAATTACACACAGCAGCCACAGAGCCTGGATTCATCTCGAGAAATGACAGCAGCAGACTAACAAGGCAGTAAAAAAGACCAAAGTTCATTTTGTTACAAAAATGATCGGCAGAAGAGACTTTCATCTGAGGCTCAGGGATGGAAGTTCTCACCCAAGCAACTAACACTTACTTCCTGCCTCCAACCTCCATGGAACCTTGAACCCACTCCAGTCAGCTAGACGCTAGAGTGAGCTACTGTCAGCGTTCCCACTCAGTCACTTTCCCAGTGTAAGTGTGCGAGAGGAGGGCGCTAAAGGGAAGAGCAGAGACCTTTGTAGGTGAGGGCATAAGTTTGAATGTGAAGTGGAAGGAGACATGAAGCCAGAGAAGAGACGTGGCTACAGCAGTGGCAGAGGGCCAAGATTTTTCTGCAGTGGTGTATTGAGTAGACTGCAGGGGAGCAAAGAAAGAAGCAGGTCATTAGGCTGTGGTGCTGCTCTCAGGGTGAGAGATGGTTAAGACGGGCTTAGCAATGGAGATCCTTCTTATGTCAGTAACCTTCCCATGTCCAATGATTTAGCCATTAAGAACCTGTCACCCTTTATGCCATACGTACTTGAGACAATTGATTTTTCTCTACAGATTTATCATACGAGCAAGCCAGAAGGTCAGCATGGACAAGTCATAGTCACCCTGCTCCTCAATCAAAAGGTAAAGCACCTGCTTATTTTCTAGCATGCAACCCAATTCATGTCAGGTGTATCTCCTCTGGAAAAGGAATTCAAACTAGCACCTATGATATAGCTCATAATTTTGCATGTGGGTATTCAATATATTATTTTGGGTATCTGGAGCTGGTATTTGGGTACCAAAGACCTGGTCATTTTGGGGTGTTTTAAACTTAGGCATTCAAATGTGGAAGCAGTAGGATTATTTTTGACATTGTTCGCTCATGAAAAAGAGTAAGAATTTGGGTCAATGTACAACTCTTACTTCTATCAATACATCAAATAGAGATATAGACTATAAACACTATAGGCACTGCAGAAAAATAGATTTATTCTGAGTTGTTGAAATGTTTTAAAAGTGATTCCTTCTGAAGTTCATTTTTTAAGGACTTGGGTCCCATTTTCTCTTCTATGATTGCATGCAGAGAAGAGTTTATGCCCAAGAAATGGGGAGGGCTGCCTCTAGTGTGGTCCTCTTTCCTTCCCACTTCAACAAAGCTCCTTCATGAAAATTATATGGGATTCTAGCATCAAAATTTTTTAGGGAGCAGGCCATGGCTGAGCTCTTCTGGATTCTCCCCATTCCAGCCTGTAGTTGAACACAGTGCAAGCCCCTTTCAGCAGTGGATGATATGAGATCCACAAGGAAAAAGGGGTTAAACTACTAGCTTTTTCTACTAGGGGTGGGAACCTGCCTGCCCCCCCGCCCTCTCTCCCACACACACACACAAACACACACACCAGTGGAAGAATTCAAAGGAACCGCTGTCTCTAGATCATTAGAACTCATAGAGTTTCCTCTCCCCTGTATGGATTAGTCACATATAAGGAAGAGTAGAACCCCTTCTGGGCAAGTTATACAGCATACGCTCACTTCAAAAAATTAGTGGCCATCCTTAGGCATACACAGCATACACAGCAGCACAGAGCACCAGTAAAGCTGTGTATGCCAGGGATGAGGTGCTAAGCAACTATGGGCAGTGCCAGCTCTGGTGGTCCCTAGCTATCCCAGGATCCTCCATGTGGGCTCTGTGCCCAGCCCGTGCTCCCCAGGAGTCAGCGAGTGGCATGAGGGTGGACCAGAGAACTCAGGAGGAGCAGGGGTCAGCTACCCAGCTGGTAGCTGGAGAGAGGCAATGGTTTCCCCTTCAAAGTGTCACTTCTCTCTGGCTGGCAGCATGGCCTCCCTCTGCTCCTTCTGTGTCCTCCAGCCCACATTCATGCCTCCCAGTGCTGCCTGCACCTCCCCCTGCTATCCTGAGGTCCAGGTGAGCCTCACCCTGCACTGCTCCAGGTTGCCAATTGGCAATTCTCCTGATCCAGACGAATTAGATGCCATTTCAGGAAATGGCATCCAATTTGGGTGAGCTGGCAATCTCCTCCCCCGACAGCTTCTTCCCCTGCAGCCCCCTTGCTCTCCACTCTGCTGGGGACAGGTGCTGGTCTGCAGAGGTTGCCAACACTGGTGGGCACAGCCTTGCTTTGCACATATGTTATTTAGGAGAAATTCATAGTTTCTTTTTTTGCTGTATATCAGTGCCTCTGACAGTAGCCAACAGATATGGAGTGCTGGGCAAGGCATGATAATGACAGAATTTGCCTTAAACTGACACTCTGCTTTAGAATTCCTCACAGTTGATGCTGTCTTAAAATACAAGTCCAAAATATGTGTGAATGTTATGCAATTTGTAATTATCAGTAACAACTGTGCTTTCCAGTATAGTCCAAACCTGCTCTTTTTGAGCCTGAGCGGGTCAGCTCAGTTAAACATATCAGGGCAAATTTTGTTGTTGACATGGCCAATGAATCATAGAATCATAGAATCCTAAGGTTGGCAGAGACCTTGGGAGGTCATCGAGTCCAGCTCCCTGCCCAAAGCAGGACCAACCCCAACAAAATCATCCCAGACAGGACTTTGTCAAGCCAAGACTTAAAAGTGCTGAGCTGCTGAAGTCCAGTAAGTTGTTTACTTATGCCAGTGATGATTTAATCCCACCCCAATGTAAGATTGCTTTGGTGACTAATTTTCAAACTAAAAAATAGATAAATATATCACTTTTTCTATTTTCAGCTACCCAACCATCATCCTCAACAGTGCCCAAAACAGAAGACCAGCGACCTCAGTTAGGTGTGTGTAACTTTATTTAAGTTAGATATGGGTTAAGTGGAGTATATTAAATATGATCTGAAATATGCCGTAGTCTGCCACCAAATAGCCAACTGTAAGAGGAGACTCAAACAATTAGCAGAGACCCTGCATAGTGGCTGGTCTCACTATCACATCCTGCATGATGGCTGAATTGTGTGTTCGTGTTTGCGTGTACAAGTAATTAACACTGAAACTCCCATGATCTACAAATCAGACATTCCAAAATATAAATGATCGATTTGCTGGGAAGTTGGATGTGCTAGAGCTCCAAGTTGCTAATAGGCTGTCTCAGCTCATCCTGACTTGCTTTTAGTAATTCTTACCAGGGTTGTGTGCCCTGTAAGGACTTATTGAGCTATTAAGCAAACCAGGTTCAGTACAAAAATGTGGAATCCAAGGATTTCAATGAATTCTATTCATAATGGCTAGTTGGAGTTCTAATCTCAGAAAAATGTACAGAAGTGAACATTTCAGTATATAGGAGAAATATAGCTAAAACTAGAATTCCTCACACAGTTCTATTGGCGTTTGAAATCCTGGACTCCTGATATAGAGCGCTGAAAGCTGAAAGCATTTCCATTCTGTTGGGTAGTCACCAGGAGAGTGTATTCATTTTATCAGAATATGTTCAAGTAATTGTGAAAGATGGAAGGGTTTTTATGGCTGTCCATAGTATTATTTTAGATTGTCCCTTGAATGAGAAAGTACATCAGAAATTCTGAGTCAGTGCATATTGAGCCTCTCTAATCTGGCACTCTGGTCCGGCAAAGTCTGTGGTCCAGCCTGATTTTAGTTAGCCAGGTGTCCACTTATCAAGGGAGTGGCCAAATTTCCTGTGGTCACATGAAATTTGTTTACAAGTCATCAAAATATTGCAAGTCATTAACAAGTCTCTGAAGTATGGTTACTTGCCTCTGTTGTAATAACACCTGAATTTCAAAAATGATGTTTGGTAACTACAACAGTTTAATGTGTTTCGTTTGTCCATATTTGTGTAGATCCCTATCAGATTCTTGGACCTACCAGCAGCCGTCTTGCAAATCCAGGTGAGAAGGAGTTTTGCTGCCCAAGGGATGATTTTTCTTCAAATTTCAAATTTATATCTGTCACTTTTCAAATTTATATCTGTCACTTATTAGAGAGTGAAGGCAAGGTTTAGCAAAGTAGTGAGCATTCCCAGCTCCCACTGAAATCAATAGGAATTAATCAATGGACACAGATGGCGCCCAGTGGATTGCATGATGGGTAATCATATGATTTGTCTCACTGATTTCAAAGAGGATCAATACAAGGCATAGAGAGTACTTTAACCTTATCTTGAGGTCTTTCAGGTGGGATTTAAACAGTGCTTTGGACTTGCAGTGGCCCTTTGCACAAGGCTGAATTTCATCCAAAGGGAACAAGTCAAGCAAGATTAGTTCCATTATTAGATCAGAAAGGAAGAGAGAATAGTGACTAGGTGGCCAGTGTGTAATGTGGCAGATTTCTCCAGTGACCTAAGTCCTGTCCATATAGTCAAACTATGGTTTTCATTAATACTTCATTAAAAATGCTATTGAAAATATTAAATAGTGCAAGTTCATTTCATTCATGTATTCCAGACTAGACATGGAGCCAGAGCCTTGGCTCATGAAACCTGACATCCAGTTTATGATCCTAAGGATTAGACCCAGGATATCCTCCAGCTATGAAAATATTGGGTTTTAGTGGTTCATATCACTGAGTCACTAGTGAAATCACTAAAGTGAGCATCTGTTTTTGACAGAGATTTTATTTATTTTCAGAAATGACGCCATGTAATAGACTAGACAAAGTCAGAAGACTTTAAACAAATAACTTTATTAATTGACAAGAAATAAATAGGAGCAAATGGGAAAGCAGAATCCCCATAGGAAAGATACAAGTGGATGAGAAGTTTCAAAGCCTTTCTCCCACTTGAAAAAGGCAGGCTATAGTTTCAAGAAAATCAGAAGATTTTGTCTAAATACAGATTCCATGTCAGAATATCTTATTGAACACAATCTGAACTATGACCTATAGTATTAAAGGTGGGGGAGAGAGAGAAGAAGGTAAGGGATCTTCTTGCTATACTATTCTGTGGACCAGACTAATTTAATTGTTAGTCTGACTCCATTATAGTGAGTCTCGTTTTATAACAATATATCTGAGATCAGAATTTGGTCCAATAGACTGACAATGCATATACCAAGTACTGTTACCCCTTCGATAGCGGTCAATGGGTAGAATGCTCTTTTTCTCTGCCCCCTTTTCCTATTCTTAGTCATATTTCTTTCTGCAACAATGACTGAATGAATCATGATGGCTCTTTGTATGATATTGTCATGACCTGTTTAAGTTAGGAGTGTTTCAACACTAAATTGTCTTTTTCCCTTGTATTAGCTTTATGATATAGTTACATTAAATAAAGTTATAGTTACATTAAATAAAGTATTTTTAAGATAAAGATTGTTGGATTCCAAGAGAACTAAAGGAATTAGGTGTCCAAATCCCATTAAATTCATTGGAAGTTGGGCATGCAGCTTCATTAACTCTTTTGCAAATCCCAGCATTGTACACATGGTATCAACTGGCTTTTTGCTAGCCTTGTGCCTATGGCACTGTGAAAAGAGCTAATATGATATGCCCTGGATAGAGATACATGTTAACATTTAGGGAGAGACACAAGTATGGAATTTCTATAAACTATTATTTCTGCACTTTAACAAGTTCTGTGTATATATGAAATGGTGGAATTACTCTCATTAAAAGGAAATTGACAAGAACCATTTATTTTCATATGACTATATATTACATTTGGAAGGCAAGTGTTTATATTGAAACATATGCTGGATTGTTAATTCAGAAATTTGTGTTTTGTCCAGTCCTTGACTGTTTATTGATTTTCAAATACTAATCGTCTGGTTATATTTCATGTATTAAAAGTGCATGCTTTGCTCATACGAGGGATTCTTTTGTTTGTTTGTTTGTTTGTTTAATCATGTTAATGGAACAGAAGAAATTCATTAAGAACAGTTTGCATACATATCGTTTAAAGGAATAAAAGTTTTAGTTGCTCTGAAGCATAAATTGTTAATGTACTTCAGATGTGACTTTAGGTTAATATGATAGTCTGCTCTTATAAACTTTCTAAAGAAATGGTAATTTATTAGACTCACATATCCACTTTAAAAAAAACTTATTTTTTGACAGAGATATACTGTACTTAGAAGTTAGCACAGAAAATCTGTTTGGCAAATTCTGCTGACATTGCAACTGCGATATACAGAGCTTGGCAACTGTTATGGAGTATCAGCTCTGCCTTGTCATAAAATACTACTTTTTTTACATGAATCTCAGTGGCAGGACCCATCTAATATATTGTCAGCCATTTAAAATGTTCATATTGTATTTTTATGATGTTGTTGTGTAAAGCCATATTGCAAAGTTGTCAACAGCACAAATTCTTTCTTTCTCAGATTGAATTTCCAGAGAAGGGAGGAATAAAAGTGTTTGGAATCATAACTTTTCCCATTGTTTTCATTCCTGTTTGACAGAGAACATTTACAAGAACTCACTTTAAAGATCTTTTCATTGTTTTCTCAAATGCTGTGCAATGCAATCAGATGCACTATAAGAGCAATCCAATGAGTTTTTGTTCTACATTTCCCTAAATATTGGAAATGGTTGAAATGGCATGGAAGATCTAGCTTTCTCTAAACTTCTCCATTTTGCATAGGTTTATTCCATGGTGGAGAAAATTTAGTTGCAAAATATTATTGTGGGAACACGAAAGCAAGTTAAAGCTGTTTGACCTGAACTTTAGAGATTAGTTTTGCTATATCTATGTTGTATTATTTCACTATCAGTTTTCCAAGTAAATGACATGAGGTAATTATTAAATATGCACATAATGGCATTGTGCCTGTCAAAATACAGAAAACAATACTTTAAATTATAACCTCTGATACGCAGATCTTTTTTTGATAGAGACAGTAGTTAGATTGAAAGAAAGGAGCAGAGGTTGCAACATTTCCTAATTAGGGTCTGCAGTGAAAATGCACTTGGATTTCATATGTGAAAGTCAGGAAGTGTTGATGTTATTAGTCACTGGTTCTTAACTCTTTTTTTTCCCCCGCCCGTAGGGAGTGGACAGATACAACTGTGGCAGTTTTTGCTGGAGCTCCTGTCTGATAGCTCCAATTCTAATTGCATCACCTGGGAGGGCACCAATGGCGAGTTCAAGATGACTGACCCTGATGAAGTAGCCCGGCGCTGGGGAGAAAGGAAAAGCAAACCCAACATGAACTATGACAAACTCAGTCGTGCACTCCGTTACTACTATGACAAAAATATTATGACTAAAGTCCATGGTAAGCGTTATGCCTACAAATTTGACTTCCATGGAATTGCTCAGGCCCTTCAGCCTCATCCTCCAGAGTCTTCCATGTATAAATATCCAACAGACCTACCCTACATGAGCCCCTACCATGCACACCCTCAGAAGATGAACTTTGTAGCTGCCCATCCTCCTGCTTTACCTGTAACCTCCTCCAGCTTTTTTGCTGCTCCTACTACATACTGGAATTCACCAACTGGAGGTATCTACCCTAATACTAGGCTTCCAGCCACCCATATGCCTTCTCACCTTGGCACCTACTACTAAGAAGGAAACAAATAAGAGACGCTTCACCATGGAATACAATACCCAATTAATTATGATGAACTACTTTGGGAAACATGAATTAAAAATGCCTAAGGAGACATGAAAAAGTTTGACTGCGGAAAAAATGTCAAAAAAAGACTTCTTGTCCTAGCGAAAGTATTCAAGAAGTATAAAGATGCTAAAATGTAATGTATATGGGCATCGGATCTGTGGACCAAACAACAAAAAAACTGTTGTAGGTAAAGCATGAAATGAAAAGGACAACCTACAAAAGAAAGTGGTCTTAAAAAGATGATAAGCTTCTGTGTAAAATTTGATATCTTGCTAATGCAAACTGGGACTATACTACAGCAATATAAGGATAATTCTATAGTGACCTAACATACAGTATACGAATTCATGAAAACCAACAAAAAACCAACAAAACAACCAAAGCAACCCCTCCACCTATATTTAAAAAAATGGAAACATATCAAGAAAGACTGATTGAGTGTGGAAGCTGATTTGGAATATAACAGCATTGGTTTTGGTTAAACTCAGAATGCATTCCATTCATTGGAAAGGTATCAGCTATTTCAAACTGTGAAGATAACCCAAGCTTTAAGATTCCTTGACAGTGTTATAGGAACTCTGAGCCAAACATTGGAATTGAGAATGTGCTGAAGGGCAAGAGTATGATTGTAGATCAAGGGCGTGCATCTGATACAGGAAGTAGAAAGGAGGAAGAGGAGGGCAAAGATGAGAATGAGAGAAAAGAAACTTCTTTAAGAGGAGATACCGAAGAGACTGAAAATTTGGTAGTGTTGGGACTATAAAAAATTACTTGTTTGGACTTGAGAAATATTTTGATCAGTATTATACCATTCCCAGTATTATAGAAGGACTAGCTTTGATTGTTTTTAAGTGGAGAAAGGGAAAAGCAGTAGAATTCAGAAATCAGAATATACATCTCTTTAAAAAAGGTAAAACTGGAATTGTCTAATATTTAAAAGTAACTTTTAGGACCTCATCATTATTAAGGGAGTTTGTTTTCTTCTGGTTTAAAGTAAGAGACAACCCCGACTGCCAAAATCAGATATCATATAAGTATTTTTGTTAGGCAGGCGCCAGTTTTTCTTTTTTGAGTCGCGAACGCTGTGCGTTTGTCAGAATGAAGTATACAAGTCAATGTTATTTTTCCTTTTTATATAATAATTATATAACTTATGCATTTATACACTACGAGTTGATCTCGGCCAACCAAAGACACAAAAAAGGGACAATCAAAAATATTGTGGCCTTGAATTTTAACTCTGTATGCTTAATGTTTACATTATGAACTTATTAGTACTTAGAATGCAGAATGTATGTAATAAAATAAGCTTGGCCTAGCATGGCAATTCAGATTTACACTGTGGTCTGTATTTGCATTTCTAGTGACCAAGATGCCTATTAGACCTTCTTCCAAAATGGTTTAAATATTTGTAAACATTTCCTTTTCAAATATTATTTTGATTTGTGAATTTTAAGTCATGTAAATGAAGGACAAATCCATACAGTTCTGTTAGTACACCTGAATTCTGCTCTACAGTACCCCTGCTGTTCCTGCCCTGAACTTCTCTTGAGCAGAGATTGCCAACTGTGCCAATATTTTTGATGGCTTTGTGGCCAACCATGAAAATGAGGTCTAGAGCTGGGGGAAGACTGTGATCCAGAAATTCCTTTTCAGCATCGTATAACAAATTCCAGCCCACGTCTTACTATTATACTAGAGTTTGTTGAACTGTCATACACTCTTGCTATTAACACATACTGTATCATTATTAGTAAATAAAATGAAGAATGAAGAAATGAAGAACTTCCATTATTCCTCACTTTAAAACTGAGCGAATGATAGCTTCTCAGTTTCTCGTTACAATCCATCTTTGGTGTTTACACTGGGCAGAATGTTTTCCTTGTATTCTATATTCAGAGTATTTCCATACTGTATAATGGGAAGCCCAGATCCTCATCTTATATATAATGACTATGTTTTTAATACCGAGGACCTTGTCTTGTCATTTATGAATGGCTCTGTACAGCAGGCAATGCTTATTGTGAAGAATACATACAATTAAGACTTAAAAGGATGTTCCCTTCTTTGCTTTTCATCACCACCATTTAGTTAGAATGAGTATGATTTCATATTATATTGTAAATATTTTGTACAGCCATTTCTCACTTTGTTCACCCTTGCAGGCCACAAGAACGTAGCTGCCAGACCTCCATGTTCTGGTATCTTGGCAATAGTCTGTAAATGTAGGATTACATTTAAGACTTGAAGCATTACTCAGATTGAAAACAACCGTGTTATCAGTCATAATAGTAGTAACCTGGAAAATATCCACTCATAACCTATAGTTCTTAAGAAAATAAAAACCAACTAAAATGTTAGAAAAACTATGCTACTGGAAAAGGTTAGTCATTACTTTAGAAGTCAGGCACACCTATGTTTTGAATATAAGAATACTAGTTTGCTTTTATGTGGAAACTCATTTCTACGAATGTCTAATATTACACTGTGCACACTTCACTAAAAAAGGCATGTTTATTATTGAACCATCTTTTAATTAAGCATTTTAGAATGCCAAATAAAACAGAAACCTGTATTTAAAGAAATCATGTGGAAGGGGTTAAGGTGTGAACACAATGCTACCCACAGAGCTCTAGAATATGTCTCTTTTCTGCTTTCCTCTGCAACAGGAGCTGCTGGTCAAATGCCTCCATTCTGATCCTTGCAGAGGTTGCTTGGATGAAGATGGAGTCTCTCACACATGTTAGAACCTGTGGCCAATCGAGGTTGCACCATTGAGCAATTAAAAATAAGATCCTGGGGTGTACAGGACAGGGGATTCTCGCTTGTAAAGCCAGTTGAACTGGCTGTAGGAAGATCATTTAACTCTAGAGATAGTGACATCTTTCTCTCTCTCTCATCTGATGCTGGTGTAAAGAGTGTGGCCAGAAAGTAAGGAGTGAATGGCCAATACATTCGGTGGATGATTCCTAAATACCATTTCTGCCCACAGCACATCTGGTTCCAATTACCAACTTAGGCGAGCTTCCTCAGCAACCTGTAAATTCCTTTTCTGTGTCAGGCATATTCCAGTTTGGATCTTCCACATCATCTTAGCCTCAGACCTTAAATCCTTTGTATACTCTGCATGCAGACAAAAGGACACTCATTCCTTTTTGAGAGAGTGCTGAACATTCCTTTCTCAATTCATGTAGTGCTAAAACTCTCTCTTATAACCGGGCTTAAATTGTGGAAACTTTTAAATGGAGAGAAAGAAACAAAACTTAAACTTTCAATGAGCCTTTGTATATTTTATACTCTCTTTTCACACTAACACAGGGTGAATTTGAAACAAAAATCTTCCAAAATAAAATCAGGTCACATCAGTTGCCAAAAGACATGTTCCCCTTGCAGATGGTGTAAATATTCAAAATATAATCCTGCATACTCACTGGGCTTCACTCTGCCAGATTCCTTGAGCTTGGCTCCTTCTTGATCAGGAGGAGAGGAAAGTGATGGCATTCTCCCAAAAATGCCAACTGCTTGTGGCACCAAGCTGATGCATTGCTCACAGGAGATTGAGGAAATCTGTGAACCTTTCTCTGCTTTTTTTTTACATGCTTTCATGGGGAATGAAATAATTTAAAGTGTTGACATTTATCATGACTGGTCCTCTGAGTTAACCACTCTCTGGCTGTGTCTAGATTACATGCCTCTGTCGTCAGAGGCATGTAGATTAGACACGTAGGCAAAGGCAAATGAAGCCGCGATTTAAATGATCGCAACTTCATTTACATTTACATGGCTGCCGTGCTGAGCCGACAAACAGCTTGAAGCCGCGATTTAAATGATCGCGGCTTCATTTACATTTACATGGCTGCCGCGCTGAGCCGACAAACAGCTGATCAGCTGTTTGTCGGCTCAGCGCGGCAGCCATGTAAATGTAAATGAAGCCGCGATCATTTAAATCGCGGCTTCATTTGCCTTTGCCAAAACAACAAATCTACATGGCTCTGTCGACGGAGCCATGTAGTTTAGACATACCCTCTGTGAGGAATGGGATGGTTCACACCTCTCAGTCATTGTTGCCCATAGTTTATCTTGTTCCCCTGTCTGAGAAGCGGCTTGAGGACACAGAGGTGATATGACTTGTAGTGTTTTCATGATGCAGATCATGCTCTGATGCCCAGGCATGATGTCTCCATGTCATCAACCTAGAATTATGCAGTTCAGAAGAAACTCAGAGTTTAGCCAAAATGGGGATTTGAATGAGGGTTGGCAGGATGAATGGTAAAGAATGCAATTAGGTTAGCAGAAACAATTGGTGGAGATAGTGAGGGTAGTATGTGATTGTGATAACAGGAGTTTTGTGTGCCTTTTGTCATTTAGGTTTTCAATTTCATGAGCTAAATGAATCCTTGGCTTCTTTGAGGGGCTTAAATTCAGAAGTGGCCAAGAGCACTTGGCCACCACTGCTTAGCTAAGAGGTTGTATCTCTTCCTTTAGGAGGGGGAATCTCACTCCAGTTCTCCATGCATTTGTCACCTACAGACTGGATTGCTTCATTGTTTTCTGTTTGAATCATATAGGAGAAAGTCACTCCACAACTTCAGTTATGCAAG